CAGGGTAGAACTGCCCCTGTGAGTTTCTGAGAGTGTAACTCTTTTTAAAAAATCAGTTTATTAGGGGCTCTCCAACTCTTATCACAATCCATCCATCCATCCATTGTGTCAAGCACATTTGTACATATGCTGCCATCATCATTCTCAAAACACCTGCTTTCTACTTGAGCCCTTGGTATCAGCTCATTTTTCCCCCTCCATCCCCGCTGCCCCTTTCCCCCTGACCTTGTAATCTGTTTCCCCTTTCTACCCCACCCTCCCGATATCGCCACTCTCACCACTGGTCCTGAGGGGATCATTTGTCCTGGATTCCCTGTATCTCCAGTTCCTCTCTGTGCCAGTGTACATCCTCCGGTCCAGCCAGATATGTAAGGTAGAATTGGGATCATGGTAGTGGGGGGAAGGAAGCATTCAAGAACTAGAGGAAAATTGTATGTTTCATCATTGACTATAACTCTTTATTGGAGTAGAAAACCTGTCTCCCCACCCCCAACCCCCTAACAACAGATGGACTCATGTATTTATTCTATACTTTGGCTCATAATTTAATATCAGGTTTTGTGTTTTGTTTTTGTTTTTTTGCTTAAATTGCTCCAGCTTTGCCTCATAGGAGTTCTCTCAGGTTGGCTCATGTCTCTTTGACCTACCCGATTTTTTGAGTTCTTTCTTATATAATTTTGCCCCAGCCTTAGAGTCAACCATATCCCTACGAAGTCCTGGGTCCTTTAATTGGGGAATAGTATTAGAAACCAAGATCTGGGTGATGGGTGCAATTATTGTTTGGGGAGGGGCGTTGCTGCTAGGTCTTCTCAGTAGATAGAGCTGGTAGTAAATATACATATAGACATGTACTAACCTGTGTACACCAACCCCAAACCAGACTCATCGCCATCAAGTTGATTCTATCTCACTGCAGCTCTAGCTAGGGTTTCTATCTTTCTTTTTTATTAGGGGCTCATACAACTCTTATCACAATCCATACACACAGCAATTGTGTAAAGCGCATTTGTCCATTCATTGCCCTAGCTAGGGTTTCTGAGGCTGTACATCTTAATGAGAGCAGACAGCCTCATCTTTCTCCTCTGGAGCCCCTGTTGGATTTGAGCCACCAACTCATGGTTAGCAGCTCAATGGTTACCTAGCAGCACCACCAATGCTCCTTTACCTATGTACACACATGCACCTATGTTTCTGTATCTATCTGTATATACTTTAAGATAAATATGGGTTCATATTGGTGTTCCAATACCATATACTATACTTTGTTCTAGCTTCCTTCCTCTCCTCTCCCTGGCTTACCTGTTTCCTTCTTTTCTGACAGTAAGAACCTGACTTACTGTCATCTGTCATGCATTTACTTATTGGTTCATTCCCAGTGTACTATGTGTATAGCCATTTCAGAATTGTTAATACATACCTCTATGGGAAACAACTTCACCCACTCGATTATATTGCTTATGGACAGTTTCTTTAGTCTTGTAGTTTCTATTCAAAATACCATTTTCCCAGATTACCTGGGTCCGCTCCCCCCATCTCTTTCACTAAGGTTATATCATATATTTGTAATTAAATCGAATCATGTTGTCACAACTTCCCCTGACCTCTTGCTCATTTCCTTTTAATTTTCTTTTTAAAAATTTTCTTACATGAAGGCAAATTCTGTTTTTTTTAACATTAAAACATCTTTCAAAGGCAATGAAAAGTCATAGATGCATTTTTAATAAGAGAGTAATACATATTTTATGCCTTCTTTGGTTTTTAAAATTGTTTACTATGGTCAAAATAGTTATGCAGAACATTTGCAAATTTAACATTTTTCACATGTATAATTTGGTGACAGTGGTTATATTCATCATGTACAACCATCACCACTATCTGTTTCCAAATGATTTCACCGCCATTCACAGAAACTCAGTCTCCTAGTGTCCGTTAATAAATGTTCCTATCTATACATTTGCCTATTGCACATAAGTGGGAGCATGTAATATTTGTCAATTTGTGACGGATTTATTTCACCAGGGATATTTTCAAGATTCATCATTTCTCTTATGTCAGAGTAATTTATCACATTTTGTTTATTCATTCATTTGTTGGTGAATATTTAGGTTATTTCTACCTTTGGTGTTTAATTTCTATCTTTTGGCTATTTTGAACAGTGTAACAGTGACCCTGGTGTGTATGTTTCTGTTTCCAGTTCTTTTGAGTATATAACTAAGAGTGGGATTGCTAGGTTATATGGTATTTGACTCAGTGGTAATGATTTTTTAATGTTACTTTTATAGTAGTATACATACTACTTACAAGGAAGACCAGTTAATATGGCCATTATTCATATGTACACCTCAGTCACTAAAGCCAAAGATGAAGAAGTTAAAGATTTTTACCAGCTTCTGAAGTCTGAAATTGATCAAGCATACCATCAAGATGTGCTGGTTGTACGACTCTTCTTAATATGATTGAACTATTGAATTATATGATATGTGAATTATATTTCAATCAAGCTATTTACAAAGACACATTGCTAATTATTGGTGATTGGAATATGAAAATTAGAAATGAAGAAGGATTGGTAGTTAGAAAATATGGCCTTGGTGATAGAAATGATGTCAAAGATTCCCATGGTAGAATTTTGTAAAATCAACCACTTATTCGCCCTGTTGGCAAAGGGCTATATGTTGGGCTGCTAACTGCAAGGTCACTTATTCGAAACTATCAGAAGAAAGATGGGGCTTTCTACTCCTGTGACGAGTTACAGTCTCTGAAACTCACAGTGGCAGCTCTACCCTGTCCTATGGGATTGCTGTGAGTTGAGAGCCAAATAAGGACCTGAATTTAGAGATCTGATGTGGGATAACATCCAAGACATCATCCATGAAGAAAGCACTCATTCACTGCCATCGAGTTGATTCTAGCTCCTAGAGACTCTACAGAACAGACGAGAACTGCCTGAGGGTGTCCAAGGCGGTGATTCTTTCAGAAGCAGATTCCTTCACGTTTCACCCGCAGAACAGCTGGTGGGTTCCAATCACGGACTCTGGCTAGCAGCTTAGTGCTTAACTACTGCACCACGACAACCCAACCGCAACTGGCTGCCATCGCATTGGTTCGGACGCTTCCAGCGCTGTAAATCTCTCCCAGGACAGATCGCCTCGCCCTTCTCCCACACAGCAGCTGGCGGGTTTGACTCACAAGCCTAGTAGTCCGCAGTTCAGCTCGTACCCAATAGCACCACCAGGAAAGAAAGAACATATTAAACTGGACTGGCTAGCTCAGACATAGCTGTTTTATGTCCAGAAGCTCAATTTAGGTCTTTAAAGATATATATAAAGATGGACCCTGTTAAAATATGTCATGTTTTAACATGGTCAATCATTCATGTACCTTCTTGAATGTATGGACTACAACTGAAATAACTTTAAAGCCCTGATTATTTATTCTTTTACCCCTGTCACTTCTGAGTCTGTTTCCACCGATTGAGTTTGCTTCTCCTTCCTATTTCCATCAAGTCAGTTCTGACCTCAGTTCTGACTTAGAACAACAACTTTTTAAGACACAATAGAGTAGCCCCATAGGGTTTCTAAGGTATGGTCTTTACCGGAGGGAGCATCTTTCTCCCATGGAGTGCCTGGTGGGTTCCAATCTCTGACTGTCCCATTAGTGCTTGAGCCGCACCACCAGGCCTCCTTTCCCCTCATTATGGGTTGTGTTTTCCTGCTTCTTCACGCACCTGGTAGTGAAGAAGAAAAAAGAAATCATTCGATGCCAGACATTGTGCATTTTACCTTGTAGGGTACTTGATATTTTTATATTCCTCTCATTATCCTTGACGTTTCTTCTGTGATGCACCTCAGTTACTGGAAAACACTTTGATCTTTTCAGGTCTTTTTTTTTTTTCTTTTCTGGATTTGGTTTGTATTTATTAGAAAAATAAAGCTGTTCTTTTGAGGTGTAGTGACCTCCTCCTGGTTCACACATGTTTCATTACAGAATTGGAATAAAAAAAGTGGTGATGAGGGGTGGCTCCTGGAAACGTTTTTGTTTGTTCATTTTGTTTTTAATAATTTTATTGGGGGCTTGTACAACTCTTATCACAATCCATACATTCATCCATTGTGTCAAGCACATTGGTTCATTTGTTATCCTCATCATTCTCAAAACATTTGCTCTCTACTTAAGCCCCTGGCACCAGCCCCTCCTTCCCCCTCCTCCTTCCCTCATGAACCCTTGATAATTTATAAATTATTATTGTTTTGTCATGTCTTACACTGTCCGACGTCTCCCTTCACCCACTTTTCTGTTGTCTGTCCCCCAGGGAGGAGGTTATATGTAGATCCTTGTATCGGTTTCCCCTTTCTACCCCACCCTCTTGGTATCACTACTCTCACCACTGGTCCTGAAGGGATCATCTGCCCTGGATTCCCTGTGTTTCCAGTTCCTATATGTACCAGTGTACAACCTCTGGTCTAGCCAGACTTGCAAGGTAGAATTCGGATCATAATAGTGGGGTGAGGGAAGGAAGCATTTAGGAACTAGAGGAAAGTTATATGTTTCATCATTGCTACCCTGCACCCTGACTGGCTCATCTCCTCCCTGAGACCCTTCTGTAAGGGGGTGCCCAGTGGCCTACAGATGGGTCTTTTCAGGTCTTGGTGTTAAGCATTAAGCAGAACCAGAGAATCATTAAGCCCAGACGCAAACCCAGTGTTCCACGAAATTATGCAGTTGTCCTCTGCGGCTTTTGAAACCAGCTATGAATTCCGACCCATGTGCACTCCGTTAGTCATTTCAGGTGGGCTGTGTTTTGTTTGGTTGGTTGGTTTTGTTTCCTGGCCTACGTTATTCCCTCACATGCATGCTCTGATGAACACTCATCTGATTCCCTTTGAAGTTTTCTGAAATGGTTTCTCTCTGCCCCTTTCTCCTCCTTGGCACCAGTTCTGGTGATTCTACTGCTGTTGCTTTCCCTAAAGCCTTTGCTCGACCTCCTCAACCTCTGTGCCATGATTTCCTGACATGCGGTTGTTTCTGTGATACCAGGTTGCTGTAGCGGGTAGACAGATCAAGCTCCTAGTTCATCTACCTGTTCCAAAAGTCCATTTTATATCTTGCCCTTGGAGAGAGGATGCATCAGATATTAAACTGATAAGAACCCATATACCCTTGATCTTAGCCAAATGTTGATTTTTGTTGCTTCATATCTTTTGTATGAATCTGTCTCGTTTGGTTGAAAGCTAAGTTTCCTTATTGCTTGTTTAATTTAATAGCTCTATCCACTACTGAGAAAGTGCTGTTAAGATTTCCAATTATGATTGTAGATTTCCCCAATTCTCTTTGTTGCCTTTTGTGCTTTGTATTTTATGACATGTATTATTAAGTTTCTTATGCACTGGTGATGCTTTGTCTTCCTGATGAATTCACACATTTATCATCACCAAATGGTAACATCTATTGCCTTTAAGTATTTTGTTCAACTTTCTTTAGCTTAGTACTTGTTTGTCTCTCTCTCTCTCTATATATATATATATCTATATATATATAGATATATATATACACTTTTTTTTTTCCTTCTGTGTTAACTTTCAAACTCTCTGTATTTCTTCTGTGGACAGACAGCATATAGTTGGGCCCAGCAACATGCCAAGCCATATTGGAGCCTGAGGCAAAAGTAAATATATACACCTCGTATACATACTTTTGTATATTTTATAATGTTTCACAGGATATTAAAGACATTGGAAATAATTGACAAATTGAGAAGTAAGTGATTATTTTCTGGTTAAAAATTTCACACCTGAAGCTACTTTGATAATTTTGGGGGATAATTTTTCATATCTTCATTTTGAATGTAAATGTAGGTCTAAAATTTCCTGCATTTTTATTGGTATCTACTTTTTCCATACTAATTGGTATACTGATTCAATAATTAGTACAGTTTCAATGTCTTATATTTTTCTTTTATTTTCAAATTCAGGAAATACTATGTTCAAAATTTATGCTAAAGATGTCCATTCATCATAGATTCTTTTATAAAGCTACTTTATCATGTTATATGCAAAGAGATAGGCCTTCTAAGAAGCTACTTCTATATAGTCATGGCTTTTTGTGTGTGATAAAATACATATGATGTAGAATTTATCACTTTTGGGGTGAAAATATGTACAACAGAACATATACCAGTTCAACCATTTCCACCTGTACAATTCAATGACATTGGTTACATTCTCCAAGTTGTGCCACCTTTCTCAATCTCCTCTTTCAAATAATTCACCATTAATATAAATTCGGGTTACCAGGAGTGGGAGGGAGGACAAATGGAGGAGTCTTTATTTAAGGGGCCCTGAGTTTCTGTTGATGATGTTAGAATAATTTGGAAACAGATAATGGTGATAGTCACATGACTTGGTTAATAAAATGAATGTCACTGAGTTGTCCATGTAAAAGTGTTGTTTTATATGTAATTATATATATTAGCATTAAAAGAAAAATATTTTGTTTCTTTTACTCTCAATATTTCAAATTTAACATGATTTCCCAAAAGCATTGGGGATAGCTCTAACCTTTCATATAGGAGACTCCAGGCTTAATTCCTAGCCAAAGCACCTCAAGTGCAGCTATCACCTGTCTGCACGTTCCTGTGATGTTGCACAAGTTTTAACGGAGCTTCCAGACTGAGGTAGACTAGAAAGAAAAGCCTAGTGATCTGTTTCTGAAAAAGCAGCCAATGAAAAGCCCTATGATGCACAATTTGGTCCCATTGTGCATGCGCTGAGGGTCAACACAATGACAGCTAACAACAACAAATTCATTTTGAGTTTTTTAGATAAATAAGATCCAGATCCCTTTTCACTATTGGCTATATTACCAACATTATAATGACCTATAGGTTCAACTAAGCTTAGAAACATGTTATCATTTGGACTTCCAGTAATTCATGAGATCCTCTAAAAGGTTAAAAAAATTGCAGAAAACTCAACAATATTTAAATTACTACCAAAATACTTGACCATTTTTTGTCTCTCAAATTTTGTTGCCTTCTACAAAACATCATCTATTAAATATGCTTGGATATATATTTTAAAACACTTATTTTAGAAAAACATCACAGTAAAAAATAGAAGTTTCATGGTAACAAATGCTTCAAATGTTGAGATTTTTATTTGTTGTGAATGTTTGATTCTACTGTATTACTGCTAAAAAGTATACATGGCAAACAAAATCAAGACAAGAATAAGACCAGAGTTCTGTGGAGTTAATGAACCAGTCAGGACTATTCAACTTGCCATTAAAACATCTTTTTTTTTTTTTAAAGCAGTCATTTGAAAATCTTAGACCAGTGGTTCTAATGCCGTGACTCTTTCATACAGTTCCTCATGTTGTGGTGACCCCCAACCATAAAATGATTTTCGTTGCTACTTCATCACTGTCATTTTGCTACTGGTATGAATCATCATGTAAATATCTGATACGCAGGATGTATTTTCATTGTAACAAATTGAACATGATTAAAGCATAGTGATCAGTCACAAAAACAATATGTCATTATATATTGTGAAATAAATGAAATTTTGTCTTGAAGCATGGTGCAGCATGGGTAACAGTCTTCATGCTGGGTATTCGTCTGTGGGCGGATCTGCATGTGGGCCAACCCGTCTGGAGACAGATAGAGGAGTGGTGTCTCGGTTCCTAAGACCATGGGAAATATGAGTTTTCCGATGGTCTTAGGTGACTGCTGTGAAAGGGTCATTCAACTCCCAACAGGGTCGCGACCCACAGGTTGAGTACCGCTGTCTTAGACCATTATGTGAAATATTCTGTAGAATCAGCTTGTCCTTGGTCAGGTTCATTTATGAACAACATTGTTTTGTCAGAAATTTGTTGTCGTCAAGATGGGGATTAGTAAAAGATTTTTCAAATGGCATGTTCTGAATTCCTTGTTCACAGTCATGCTATGAGTTCCTGAAATCTCTAACATTACCTTTATTCAAAGAAGATTCTTTAGTTTAACTTTGAATTAGATTGGTAATTCTATTCCAATAATGTAAAAAATGGTAAGTGCTCCCTGTAATTTTGATCTATTTCTGCACATATTTTTCTTTTTCCATGAACCTTGCACCACCTATCTATTTAGATGCCATATTTGTCTGGATTTTTTTTATTATAAATTTAAAAGATATTTATTTATAAGAAAGAGCTTTATATACAAGAGCAATTGAATATTGAGAAAACATCCCAGCCCAGTCCAGATCAAGCCCATAAGTCTGATATTAGCCTACATGTCAGATAAAGATATTTATTTTTATTAATAAAAGATTTCCTTAACATTTGATCAAATATAACATGTAGTCTATATGTAATCACATATGAATGAACTGAAGATTCAGAAATTATAATATTTAATAATCAAGTATCATAGGATATAAAAACCAATCATTATGCACAGTGGGGGAAAAAAGATGCACAAAGATTCCTGTCAAATTTGCTAAAAAATAAGCAGTGAAAAATAATTTATTCTAAAAGTAAATAATGTCATGTTGTGTGTGCCACTGAGGCAATTCCTGCTCCTAGTGACCCAGGGGCACGTCACCAGATCTTTCCTCCTGTGGAGCAGCGAGCTGATGGTCTAAAACCGGCAGCTGACCTTTTGGTTAGCAGGCAAGTACTGAAACTTTGCACACACACCCCCACCCTCAAATGAACCATTGCATTCTAGCTGCTTTTGACCTGTATCGACTCTGTAGGATGGACAGAGTCGAACTGCTCCTCAGGGTTTCCAAGGCTGCAAGCCCTTTTGGGAGCAGACATAAGGGAACGGCTAATTTGGTTAACAAACCAATGCTTAACCAACAGTGCCATCAGGGCCCCTATTAGTGAGCCACCAAAATAAATAAATAAAAGCAAAACTCCACTGCCGTCAAGTCATTCCAACTCATAGCGACCCTATATCGGCTTTAGGAGACTACATCTTTATTTTTATTCTTTAAACATTTTTATTATTGAGAGTTAATACATATATCATATCATTCCATAGTTCAATCACGTCAAGCAGTATTGTACAGTTGCTGTCACAATCTTTATAGGAGCAGACCAGTCTCATCTTTCTCCTAGGAGGCTGGTGGGTTTGAACCATAACCAATGCTTATCCCACAGTGCCAGTAGGCCTCCTTAAAAGACAGTATTCAACCTTCCACTCTGCAGCCAGAGGATCATGGGGGCACGGAGCCTCAATGACTTAAAATAATATACTTTAATAATAATAATATACTTTTCACAAATGAAATTTGATCAAATAGCAAACATTTCCTGAAAGAACAAATTTCCCTCAGGGAGAAAAACTACCATAAAGCATGTATTCACTTAAAACAATGCTAAGATTTGTGAAGTATATTAATAAATAAAACGTTGTTATTTGCCTAAGTGATTTTAATAATAGTTTTAGAATCACATAAATAGTATTTGTATTAAAGTGAAACTTGTCCCTTTACCTTGTAATCCTATAAATTGCAGCTACAAACAATGGAACAAACTTGTCAATTTCCTTCAGGATAGACCAATGGCTGTCAGGAGAATTACAAGCGAGCAGTGGGTTGTTTTTATTAATGTCATTGAAACTCCTTGACCCCATGATTCTCTGGATTGTGTAAGTAAAAGGTTGAATTCTGTCTTTATATAAAATGCTGCGCATCATGGACTGCTTTGTATTATCTTTAATTTTTTAAATGTCACATTAAAATATAATTTATCTTGATTATTGAGTTTTGTGGCACTCCTTAAATTTTTTATCCAATTCTAATCCTGGCTCTTATTGGGTGTTGCTTTTCGTTTTTCGTGTTGAAAATAATTGCCTTGTAAATATTGTTGTTGTTGGTAGGTGCTGTCAAATCAGTTGTTCTGAGCAAAACAGCAGCTTGTCCTGTGCCCTCCCCACAACTGTCCCTGTGCTTGAGCCCACTGCTGCAGTCCTGTGTCAGCCCATCTAAGCCACCACTTGTCTGTTCATTCGTTGTACTGCGGTGGCCAGTGTGTGGCTGTGATGCTGTATCACTGGTCTTTCAAACGCCAGCAGGGTCACCCAAAGTGACCAGGTTTCAGCAGAGCTTCCAGACTGAAAAACAGACAACAAAGAAGGGCGCCGCTGTCCACTTCTGTGGAATTAGCCACCGAAATGCACTATGTTATCCCAGTCT